AGGACAAAGGTCAGGGCCCACCCAAGCTGGGGAGTCTAGCAGGATCCTTCAGTGTCCAGTGACCCTAAAACACTGTCCCCAGCTCCAAAGGACAATTGCCAGCAGAAGGCACTCAGTGAGGACAAAAGGCCATTTCTCCTGAGACTCATGAACACGGGTCAGGCTTCCCAAAGGTTGGTGGCCCAAGTTCACACCACTTGGGTGGTCAGAAACCCTTTCACTGAGAACTGAAAGCTACCCTGGCCGGGGCCCAACCTCTGCCCCTACCTGGCGGAAGCCAAGGCAGACTCTTCCGGGAGGAGCCACCCTCAGCCAGGCATGGCAGGCTGGGCATCCCGCAGATGGCCACCATAGTGTTTCCTGCCGATGAGCTCTCCTAGAAACCTGTCACAGCCCCACCGGGAGGTAATGTCTCTGTCCCCACCCTTTGAAATGGGCAGGACTCTTGACTGCCTCAAAGGGGTGACCCCGCGAGATCTCTGAGGCTGGGCTAGAGAAGGTGATGCAGCCTTTCTAACCCAGCTCGAGCCTCTGTTCTGGGATGAGGGGCTCTGGCACCTACCCTCGTTTTTGTTGTTTTGGGGGGGTAGCCAGTCCATACTTGACCCAGAGCTCGGGCCTGGAAGCCCAAAGAAGGGCCTGCCTCAGAATGGAGAGCCTGGAGTCCCTCCCGATGACGTTATCAGTGTGACTGGCAGAGCATGTGACTGGCGGAGTTTCCCCGGGAAGCAAGGGCCTTGGGGAGCTGAGGCTACGCCCTTAGGTAGTTGTGATGACTGCAGGACTGCAGGTTGGGACAGCAGCTTTGGAGTTCCCGGCGCTATTACAGAGAGTAAAGGACAAGCTCTGACCTTTCAACCCTCAGCTTAAGTCACAGAGAACCAAAGAGATTCTATGGAGCCCTAAAATAATCCTTTATTTCTTACAGCTGTAGATTGCCAACATTGCCCAAAATCCCACCCCCAGTTTCACTGGATGGGCTGCACAATGACAACCTCAATGGAATTCACAGATACCAGAATCTCAAGCAGCGTGCTTGGTTGTCTGCTCTGTGTGGCTGAGAGATGACCAGGTGCACAGATGTACACTGACTCAGCCGCAGCAGATGGTCGGAGAAGGAGCTAGCGGATGTGGGTGGTTGGTGACAGGCCTGGGGAGGAGGTATGTGGCTACCTGTCAGGACAGGACAGTGTGAAGCTACTGGAGTCCCATGTGAATGCCCACCCAAGGGCATCTGCTGCAGCAGTGACTCTCCACTAATCAAGACACAAGATAACACATTCCATGGATGACAGGCAGTCTTTTTTCACAGCTGCGCCATTGCTCGCTGTAAGATCCTATCTACACAGTGGCCATGGTGGCAGGTGGAGGCTGTGCATGGGCTTAAGAACATGGACTTCCTCTCACCAAGGTGACCTGGCTACTGTCCCTGCTGAGTACCCAGTGGGTCAACAGAAGAGACCAATGCTAAAACTGTTATAGCACCATTTCCTGGGGGAGGGAGGGGTGTTTGGAATCAGTGTTAAAAACCTATCTGTGTGACCACTTAGTTATGTAAAAGAACAAATTGGACCTACAGACTTAAAAATAATAGCAAATTACATAAAAAAAAAAAAAAAAACCTCCTGGGACCGGTTTATCAGCAGCCTAGGGGATAATTAGTGAATGGAAAAAAGATCTAAAGAAATATCCAGAATGTGGAACATAAAGATGATAGATTAAGACATGATTGAGAGATTAAGAGTCAGGTAGAATGGTATGAGAAAGTCTAAGTGTTTCACACACCCTTCATTCTCTCTCTCTCTCTCTTTCTCCCTTCCCTTCCTCCCTCTTTCCTTCTTTCCTTCAATGACAGGAGAAAGTCTGAGTGTTTCACACACTTGACTTGCTTTCTTGCTGCCTTGCTTTCTTTCTCCCTCCTTCCTTCCTTCCTTTCTTCTTTCTTCCTTTATTTACAACCCACAGTCATAATGCATTTCACTTGTGACTCACTATACAGATAGGTGTATAAGTATGTTAACAAATGCAACTGGAATAAAAGTTTCATGAAATAATACAATGCACTGCAATATTTTCTTTTCTCTTTCTTTCTCAATGCTGGTAACAACCTAATACGATTATTTTATAGGCCACTCTTGGAAAACAACCTACAGTTTGAAAACTATTAGTTGAATAAACTACCAATCAGACTTCCTGATGTTAAAGAGAGAATGAAGTTGAGATAATATTTAAAAGAGATATTTTCATACATACTACAACATGGATCAAACTTGAGGTCTTTATGCTAAATGAAATAAGCTAGGCCTAAAAAGAAATATTGTATGATTCTACTTATATGAAGTATCTAGAGTATTCAAATTCATAAAGACAGAATGTAGAATGGTTGTTGCTGGGGGCGGAGGGAGACGGTCTGGGAAGTTACTGTTTAAAGGGTACAGAGTCTTAGTTTTATAAGAAAGGAGTTCAGGAGAGGGATGATAGGGATGGTTGTAGAACAGTGTGAATGCACTTATGCCACTGAGCTGTACAACTAAAATGATAGATGGTAAATTGTATGTTATGTGTATTTTACCACCACAAAAATGTAAAATTAAATTTTAAAAGTACTGTCTGAAAATTTTCAATAATAATGAAAGACACCAGTCAATGAATTCAGAAAACCCAAAGAATTCAAGGCAGGATAAATCAAAAGATATATCATGGCCGGGCGCGGTGGCTCAGGTCTATAATCCTAGCACTCTGGGAGGCCAAGGCGGGAGGATCGCTTGAGGTCAGGAGTTCAAAACCAGCCTGAGCAAGAGTGAGACCCAGTCTCTACTAAAAATAGAAAGAAATTAATTGGCCTACTAAAAATATATATAGAAAAAATTAGCCGGATATGGTGGTGAATGCCTGTAATTCCAGCTACTCAGGAGGCTGAGGCAGGAGGATCGCTTGAGCCCAGAAGTTTGAGGTTGCTGTGAGCTAGGCTGATGCCACAGCACTCTAGCCAGGGCGACAGAGTGAGACGCTGTCTCAAACAAAACAAAACAAAACAAAACAAAAAAATACATCATTATAAAACTGTAGAACATGAGAACAGAGGAAAAAAACAGATAATCTTTGAAGGAAGGATGTGAGATTGTCATCTGAGTTCTGAGGAGTGATGAGGGAAGCAGGAAGACAGAGGATGGTGTCTTCACTGTACTGAGAGAGAACTGTCATTCTAGCAAGTAACCCAATACATCTTTCAAGAACAAGGGCAAAATAAAGTCATTTGCAGACACATAAAAACAGAGTGTGCACCAGTGAACCCTCACAAAAATATTTTTAATTTTTTGTTTTAGAGATTGAGTCTTGCAATATTGCCCTTCCCTTCCTCCCTCTTTCCTTCTTTCCTTCAATGACAGGAGAAAGTCTGAGTGTTTCACACACTTGACTTGCTTTCTTGCTGGCTGGCCTCAAACTCTTGGGCTCAAGCAATTCTCCTGCTTCAGTCTCTCAAGTAGCTGAGACTCCAGGCACACTCCACCATACCAGGCTCAGGGGGTTTAAATAGAAAAGATTAAACTTAACATACACTACAATTAAGGCATGTAATTTGGGAGACAGGTGATTAGAGTTAAATTATTCTAAAGTCCTAATAATTTAAGGGAGCAGAAAAAAGGTATTTTAAAGATATTGGAACTTCATAAGTATGCATATCAAAAATTTTAAGGAAACCAGCAAAACAATAGAAATAAATCTTTTCTGAGAAGAAAAACAGGATGAGAAAAAAGTCAACCCTAAAGAATCAAGAAAGGAGAAGGGGGGAAAAACAGATGGGATAAATAGAAATAAGATAGTAGAAATAAATCCAGATATATTGGTAAATATAATAAGTGTAAATGGACTAAATGCTTCAGTTAAAAGACAAAGATTATTCTTTAAAAAAGCTTTTTATTATGAAAAATGTCAAGTACATGGGCAAGTGGAAGAACAGTACAAAAAACATCCATATACCTGCCCTGTAGAATCAACCACTGTTAACAATTTGCTATGCTTGCTTCACCCACCTATGTTTGTGTAGGAGATTATTAAAGATACCTATGTTACATAACAAACATAATATAATGAAATACAATTTAAATGGTAATAATAGAGTGTCCACTTTTGAGGTCAAGCAGATCTGGATTCCCAGCAATTTTTATTCATGTAATTTATTTGTGTCTCTTCACTCGGCTCTAGCAAGAGGGTAGGAATAAAGGTCAACTTTTCTGATCATTATACTTAAAATATTTGTTGCATAAACATACGGTATTTACCAGTAAAGCGTTCAGCACAGTGCTTGTTACATAATAAACATATACTGTAGAGTAGCTTGTATTTATTATAGTTGCTGTTGTCGTTACTGAAAGCATTCAGCAGAGTGGGACAAAAATCAGTAAGCAATAATAATTGGTAGTTTATGATATTTATAATTATTATTTACGATATGTCGCAGTGCCTAGCACATATCACTCACCATAAACACCATGTTTCTTACAAGAAGTACTTTCATTACCATTCAAAGTCTCTCACAGTGTCTGGCACTACATAAGCAATATAAAAGTGGAGGTTTATTCTTATTATTACTGAATAAAGCACTGAACAAAACGGCTGTCCCCCAGCGGGCCCTTAATAAATACTTTTCCTGGTGGCTGTCATCATTTCTGGACACCCTGACAGACCCCTCCTCCCGAGCTGGGCGAAGCCCCGCCCCCTGCTGCACAGCCGCCCCGCCCCCATGGCTGTGCTGCGCCTGCGCACTGCGCCCGGAGGTGCTCAGCGCGCGCAGCTCTCCTCCCCGCCCCCGGAGCAGGCGCAGGGTGCAGCTTCCCGCCGCCGGAGCCGGCCGGCCTGCTGCGTGCGCGCGCGCGCCGCTGCGTGCGTGCGTGCGTGCGTGCGTGCGTGCCGTCACTCGCCGGGCGCCGCGGCCTCGCCCTCGCCCTCCGCCCCTGCGCCTGCACCGCGTAGGCTGCCCCCCCCCGCGCGCACCCCGTCGACGACCCCCGCCCGCGCCCCGCCGGCCCCCCCCCTCGTAAAATTTAAAGGGGGCGCAGCATTAACGCTTCCCGCTCAGGTGACCTCTCAGGGGTCTCCCCGCCAAAGGTGCCCCGCCGCCGAGGAACATGGCGAAGGTGGAGCAGGTCCTGAGCCTCGAGCCGCAGCATGAGCTCAAATTCCGAGGTAAGCCCCGGAGGCCCGCCACCTTCCGGCCCGCGGCCCCCACCCCGACTTTCGGAGGGACGTCGGCCCGGCCCCCGTCCCGACGGCGCGGCCGCGGGGGGCGGCGGGTCCGGGCGGGCCTTGGCGTCCGCCCCGCGCCCCGGCGCCGTCAAGAGCTGCCCGGACCCGCGAGGGCCATGTGCGGGAGCCCGGGGCCTGCTCCTCCTCGCCCCGGCCTGCCGGGGCACTTGTCACAGTTGCCGTGGTAACTTGTGAAGACTCCGTGGTCTCCTGCGCTGCAGTGTGAGCATTGGCGGCTCCCTTTGCCTGCAAGCTTCTAACTGTGCTCTGCACAAGGTTGGCCTCCTCGGGTCTCAGTTGAGATGTCCCCGGCCCAGAGAGGCCTGCCGCGACCCCCCAGCCCGCGTGGGCACCTGCTGTCATGCCCTGCCACACCACCCTGTTCCGCGGTGAGCCCCGCACTGCGCGCTACCCGGCATCACTGTGTTTGGGCACTAAAAGGGAAACTCCATGAGGACAGGACCTTGCCAGTTCTTGCCCAGTGCCCAGCACGTGTTAGGTGCCTAATACATATCTGTTGAGCCAATAAAGGAGTGGAGCTTCCTCGGGAGTTCTGATGGGACTGGCACAACTTTCCCTCAGTCTTCCTCATGCTCACTGGCCTCCGTGCAGCTGACGGAGGAGGCTGCCAGGGGTGGGACATTTTCCTCTCCAGAGCTGCCTGGAGCCTGAGGAAGCCTAGGGCCACACCTGCGTTTGGGGGAAGCCACGGTCCTCCTTTTTTCCTTGCACTTATCACCTCTGTAATTTGTACCCGTATATTTTTTTATGTCATTTTTTCCTGTACCTTCTCCACCAAAATGCAAGGGCCACGAGGTTATAAGGACCTTGTCTGCCTTGCTCATTACTTCTTGTCCCATGTATTGACCAACTGTGTGTGGTAGGCACTGGGGAAGTGAAGGATGAACAAGAAGGACAAGGCCTCTGCGCTCATGGAGCTTGCCTTCCAGTGAGGGGAGGGAAACCAGTGAACAAGGTCATTGCGGAGTGTTAAATGCTGTGAAGGAAATAAAGCAGGCTGACCTGGTGGAGGTGTACTTTAGACTGGGTGGCCAGGTCTCCAATCTGTATCACTAGCGCCTGGCCCACAGTAGGTGCTCAGTCGGTATTTGTGAAATGAATACTGGCCAGAGGCACCCCCGTTTATATATCCCGTCAGGAAGTAGTCTAGGGCAACTTGCCCAAAGTTACCCAGTTTGAAAATGTACATTTGAGCTCAGACTTAAGAATTCACTCTTAACCATTATGCTTTCTGACCCCAGGGGCATACTACAGAAATGTGGCTGTCACTTTGTCTTCTGGGTTAACAACCTGAAATGACTCTGAATGTATAAGGAACCAAAGGCTTTCCACTTAAAATTAAAAAAAATCCAAAACCCCCCCACAAAAACCTAACACGGGTCATAATTCCATAGTAGTACTTGAGATGGCATGATGTTCGTTCTTAGGGCCTTCTGGTGGAGGAGCCAGGCTGGAAAGGAGTCCAAATGTTAATGTGAATGTGGTGAGCAGTGTCCTGCATTGTCTGAAGTTCTCTGCCCAGGAAGCCTGGCTTGGCTACTCCTGTGAATTGGCATGTTCAGTTAGTCCACAAACATATCTGAGTACCTGCTCCATGTGTCAGGTACCAGGAGAAGCCAAGTCACATCAGTTGTACTACCCTGTTCTCCCTCAACCGCCTGCTTACTGCCTTACATGTGGGGAAGGGGGATGAGAAAATCAGCCAGAATGGTGCAGTGATGGGTAATCCAGAGTGCTCCAGGAGCACGAGGTCAACTCCTGAAAGAGGTGTCATTTGAGCTGAGTTATAAAGATCAGATATAAGCAAGCTAAAAGAAGAAAGGGGTGTGGAGTGTTTCAGGAGCAGGAAGTTGCATGCGTAGAGGCACAAACACTGGGATGGCTGGACTCCTTTGGGATGCCACTAGTAGTTCTGAATCACAGCGGCAAAGAGCATCGTTGTGGTTGCAGGGCACGGGAGGAGACAAGGCTGGTGAGTATACAGGAGTCAGATCTGAAGGCCCTTTGTGCATAGACACAACCAGTGTTTAAGTTAAAATTGTGTTAACTCTCCTCAAACAGTCTCTCTTCCTTGGATTGACTCCCTCAAACCCCAAACCCCTTCTCTAATGTTATGTTTGTAAATTCAAGTTTTTGTCCCAGTTCTTTCACTTAAAGATATGTGACCTTGGGCTAGCCAGTTCATTCCCCAAAGCCTGGGGTCACTCTTCAGTCATTGGGGATGATATGCGTGTCTACCTTGCCTCCTATAGAAAGTTTTGTTGTTGTTTAGGGGTGATACTATGGCTGTTCAGGTGCTTTGTAAATGTATAGTACTATAGAGAGATTGGTGGTTGTATTTAGACAACTGGTTTCATCACTTCAGACTCTTTACCTGAAAGATATAGCAGAGAAGAGAGTGAGCTCTCTGGTCTTGGGTTGGCCAAAGTAATGATGGCCCAAGTCATTGGATAATTTTGCTAGGGAAGTGGTCCAAGAGAAGTGGTATCAAATTGTTGACTACTATTGGCTCATAACTTTAGAAGAGGTACCTGCCGGCATGTGTAAATCCCCTTATGAGGTGTTTTGTTTGTTGATTGGTTGGTTTTAAACTCAATGCCAAGACAATAAAATTAGAATAGAGACTCAGTACTCTGGTTTACTATATAGAGATAATTCATTTCAGGGTTAGGACTGGCACATTTAACTGGTTTCTTCAGGTTACTCAGGGTGATGACTCTGATTTCTGGTGGTTCATCCAGATGAATCGAACTTCTAAGATAACTTTGCTTAAGAAGGTAATAACTAAAATGCCTATTTTAAAGGTTTCAGAGGGAAAAACAATATCTTTTAAGCCTAAGATGATGGTATAGAGTTGTATACCGTCAAATTCTTTTTAATCTTGGGAATTCTGTGTGGTATATTAAATTTAAGAATGTTACAGAAGAGAAACAGAAGACAAATTTATATGACCTTTTCAAGTTTTATAGAAAGTACTATGCTATATTGTGTTAAATATCAAAAGGAGAAAGATTGGTGGCTTCCTAAAAGAATCATGCAACAGTGGATTTGCCTAGATTTAAAGTTGATTTTTCTCCTCGCTAGTATAGTGGTGAAAGATGAAAAAGAAACAAACAAAAAAAAAGAATTTAAAAATAAAAGAAAATTTTAAAAATGAAAAAAAAATAAAGTTGATTTTCATGAGGTATTTTTCAGAAGTCAGCATTAGTGGAAGCTCTTTCAGACTAGGGTATCTTTCTGAGAGTAGAGGTATTTAGAAACCTGTGGAATGTATGTGTGTTGTTTTTTTCATTGTTGCTGTTTCTGTTGATCTCAGTTCTTCCAAGGCCTAATCCTTTCTGTCTCCTCACTCTAAGATCCAACTTGTTGTCCAGCTCAAGAAGAACTGAATGAGTGAGTCACTTTCAAGGCATTAAATATCTCTTCTTTCTTCTCTCCCTCCCTTTCATCAGATTCCATCTGTGGTAAATAGTGTGCTTTGTATTTTTTGGTCATTGTCCAAGACTTGATCTTCCTTCATATCGCAGCACACCCCTCTGGCAATGATACTGTCACTGGGAGTGGTCTGTTAACCATTCTTACCCGCTGAAGGTTTAAACCCACTGTGAAGCCATTTACCTTTGCTTTATTTTGAGACTAAAACAGTGGCCTTCAAGAAGTCTTGGATAGTACTGTCATTGGTCAGCAGGGCTCCCCGGTAGGATAGCACCAATGGATTGGTATGGTTGATTATCACTTTTGGGAGAAAATGGAAACTTAGGCACTATAAATGATAGTTTGGGGACATTATCTTTTGTGTAAGGACAGTAGGCTTAGAATCCTTATTTCAGCCATTCAAGTTGATGTGTAATTTAGGATTGTTTAGGAAGTTTAAAAAAATCTAAAACCCTGTGGATATAGTCCATTCAAAGCAGAAATTGTCTTTCAGATGCTAAGTACAGCATTAATTCTTTAGCTTTAGTATAGCACTGATTTCCTTAACATTTCATGATCACATAGAGCAGACTGTGTTTTACAGCACAACAAAATGTCAGCAGTGTGCTTAAGATTCTTTATGGTAGTGGTTTAAATCCACCCTGAATAAATTATCTTCATTTATTTAATTATTAACCAGCTTGCTAATCAAAAGCAAGCGGCATTAAACTTATTAAACTTGAGTCAAACTTAAATCTTCATAGATAGTACTGTTTACTTGTGAAATCTTATTCCTGGGAGAAAAATGTGAACAAGAAATTAACTTGCTTTTATCTACTTATTCACTTCCTCCCCCCCCCCCCCCCCCGCAGCTAACTCCTTAGGGGGAAAAATGTATAGTTCTTGGGCATGTGCTTATATTTGGAAAGTGGTAATGTTTCCTTGATGTGAGTGGTTGTAACAGACATCACAGTTATCTTCATAATTACCTGGTTGTTTTTCATCCAAGCGTGGATTTATTAAAACAATTAGTCTGAATTGATGCTTATTAAAGAGCTGAACTCTTAAACATTATTAACCCCATCTCTTATTTATTACTATTATATAACATCTTTCCTTCAAATGCTGAAGGCAAAAATACCGAGAACTTCGACCCTGCATTATTACCACTAAGTAGTTGAAAATTAGGGGAGGAGTCAAGGGAGTAGATTATATTGGCTATCGTTCAAATACTACCCCTACGCTCGATTTTTAGAACCTGAAACTTGAATTTTTACATAAGGAATTATCTCCAAGATTGCCTCATATATCGCCTATTTGTTGAAAAATTTGCTGTCTAAAGAGTGACCATGATTTGGAACAAATGAGCACAGCTTTCTGCAAGATGACAAGAAAGATGAACACAAAGAGTGCTGAGTTCCATTAGTCAAGACAAGGTTGCCATAGAGTGTCTTTAATAAAATAAAATAAAAGCCTTCCGCACAGTTATTTTGCACTGGGGATTA